GTGCCAGGGATTGAACTCGGCGGGTCCTTGCGCTTGCGCAGCAGGCGGCGAAACCACTGAATCCTGCTCATTTTCTTCCCTCCCCTCCTCCTCCTCCTCCCTCTCTCTAGATTCAAGTACATTGTAGACTTGAAAGGAGGAAAGCCCTGAAAGACACTGGTGAACACTTCAGAGTAATATGGACATTTCCTCTATTTGTTCACTTCATCTTCAGACATCACAGTTGCTGTATCAGCTCTTTTGCATACTTGAGGTGAAAATATGGATGAATTGGACAGTCAGGGAGTTTAGTGATGCATTGGATCTCAGACACTCAAGAGTTGTGGTAAAATAGCTGATAAAAACAATGACAAGTGCTTGATATGCCATCTTATGTATCAGTTTATATCATTTGTTTCTCACTAAAATCTTACAGAGTAGATATTACCATCCCCATTTTTCTGAGGAGATCGGTGCCTAGAGAAGTTTCACTATTAGTCTGAAATTCTGGTGTTGACCAGGGCCAGTGTTGAGATTCAGTTTGCTCCATCTAAACACCATACCACCCTGAATGTTGGGGCCGTCGTGAGCTGCTCTGTGCATTTCTTCCACTCCTGCTGGGCACAGAACCTGTTGTTGCTAAATGTACTTGTGTGTGAATTGGGGCTTTCCGTAACACCCTCTTAGAACTGCAGTGTGTGGCTTAAGAGCACACTGCTATCTTCCTGGCCAGGGGTAAAGGAATGAGATGTGACATCCATTGCCCAGTCAACAGCTAGGTCTCCCCAAGAGACCTCCTCAAGAGGCCCCAGTGGGCATCTCTTCCCCTTCCTCTTGTTACTTGTCTCCTGAAGCAATGTGCTAGAAGGACAGGGCTGTGAGCCCATTCATGTCCATATCCCCAAAATGCCTCACTTTGCCCATGGGTTTGGGGTAGATTTTGCAGTGTAGGCCATCTCAGTGGCTGATGCTGCACATGTGCATGCTCCAGGTAAATGCCGCAGAGGGGTCATTTGGCTAAGAAGCAGGACTCTCAGGGAATTGATTGTATTGGGAAATGTCTTAATGGCATTTACTTAAAAAGTGATTGATTACTATATTGTATTTTTCCTTTTATGTCTTTTTTAAAATTAAGTTTTATTGGTATATGTTGCCATATGTAATGTTCACATTCATCATAGGGAATTTGTAGCCACACATAATATAGCTTAATTCTTTTTTTCCATTCCCTCCCCTCCCTTCAATCCTTCTTCACTTCCCTTTTACAAAACTTTGTTTCCATTGTTTTCCTTCCATTCCATTCTTTTTTTAAAAATTCCTATTCCCTTCTGAATTACTTTTCTTGTTGCTGAGACAAAATACCCAATACCCAAAGTTAAAGGAGGAAAGGCTTATTTAGCTCACAGTTTGTAGAGGTTTCAGTCTATAACCGGCTGGCTCCAAAGCAGGGTGGCATGGCAGAGGGGTATCGCGGAGGAAAAACAGTCCATGGCAAGGAGGTAGGAAACAGCAAAGCAGCAAGCAGCAGATCTTTCGGTTCCATATATTTTATCCAGGCTACCCGGCCTTAGGGTGACTGGCACCCACACCCTTAATTGTAGCATCATATTGTGAATCAATCCCAGGGTCACGTCCTTGAGCTGAGCATCTCACACTCCAGATTCAGCCACCTCTGAAAAGCCCCATCGGTGACCTGTGAAGTATCGGGGGGCATCTAGACACAAGCCATAATGTTTTCCTTCCCTTTCCCTGCCCCTCCCTTGTTCCCCTTCCCATTTGAATATTTTCTTCCTACTTCCCAAAATCTGGCCTCCATTTTGCCCTTATTTACATCTTGGTTTTCTCACATATTGAAATATGCATGTCTAATTTATTTCACTTATAATTATGCTCTCGAGGTGTATCCATTAGCCTAAAAATGCCTCAAGTTTATCCTTCTTTATGGCAGAGTAGTACTGCCTTGTATATAAAACTCATACTTTCTTTATTCATTCATCTGTTGATGGTCATATGGGCTGTTTCCAAGATTTAGCTATTATAAATTGTGCTGCTATAAATATCTGTGTGCATATATCGCTGTGGTATGATGCTTTTAATTCTTTCAGGGAGATACCTAGAAAGGAAATAGCTGGGTCAAATGGAATCTCTAGTTTTAGTTTTCTGAGGAGTCTCCATACTGATTTCCATAATGGTTGTACAAGTTTATACTCTTACTAGCAGTCAAGAAGGGTTCCTTCTTCCACACAGCCTCACCAGCATTTGTTATTGGTTGTTTCTTGTTTTAATTTTTATTTCTTGACTGGCCAGCAATGCTGAACATTTTTTCATGTATTTATTGGCCATTTTTACTTGTTCATCTGAGAAGTATCTAAGATCCCCATTTTCTGATTGATTCTTTAAACTTGGGGGGATCTAATTTTTTTGAATTCTTTATTCTAAATATTAGTCCTTTGTTGGAGGAGTATCTGGTAAAATTTTTCCCATTTTGTGGGGTTTTTTTCACTCTATTGGTGATTTTTTTTTTTTGCTGTACAAAATCTTTTTAATAAGATGAGATCCCAGTTGTTGATTCTTTGTACTATTTCCTGTGCTATCAGGGTTTTGTTCATAAAGTCTTTGCCTACACCTGTGTCTTCAAGAGTTTTACCTATTCTATCTTCCAGCAGATTAAGTATTTCTGGTTTAATATTTAGATCTTTGATCCATTTCCGTTTTAGTTTAGTGCATGGTGAAAGATATGGGTCTAGGTTCTATCTCCAGCATGCAGATAGCTGGTATTTTCAGCACCATTTGATAAAGAAGCTATCATTCTTCAAGTGAAGATGTTAGGTCCGTTTCTCAAAGATAAGGTAGCTTAGTGTGCTTGAGTTGTTTGTTTCTTCTAGTGTGTTCCATTGATCCTCGGGTTTGTTTTTTTGTTTTGTTTGGTTTGGTTTTATTTGTTTTTGCCAGTACCATGCTGTTTTTATCGCAGCAACTTTGTAGTAAAACTTCAAGTCAGGGATTGTGATGCCCCCTGCCTTGCCTTTATTGCTCAAAATTGTTTTTGTTATTCTAAGTCAATTCTAGCGTCATATGAATTTTAGGATTGTTTTCCCTAGTTCTGTGAGATATGCTATTTGTATTTTGATTGGGATTGCATTAAATCTGTATAACAGTTTTAGATTTTTATTTTTGATATCTTGCTGTTTTTAAGAGATGTTTCATTTGATGAATTTGATGATGGACAACCACATCCCTGTTTCTAGATCTGATATCTTCACATTGGTTGATTCTGCTGTGAATACTTTCAATAGAATTTTAAATCTCGATGTCTGTTTGCATCAGGTTTTTTTGTTTTGTTTTGTTTTGTTTTTTATGGTACCAGGGATCGAACTTGGGACCTTGTGCTTGCGAGGCAGGTGGTGGAACCACTGAGCTAAATCCCCGGCCCATGTTTGCATCAGTTTTATGCCATTCAGTTCTTTCCTATGTTGAGCATCATGGTTTCCCTAAGCTCCTCTATTTTTTATCTGAATCTACTCTAGATTCACTAACCATGTTCTTTATAATGGGCATCATCTCTCTATCTATGTAGTTTTTTCTGTTTTGTCTTTGTCTAGGATCATATTCATCTGCTTTGTTACTTCCACTCCTACCATTTCATAAAATTCAGCTAGATGGCTTTTGAGTTCTTCCACCTCTGGGCTTGCTTTGGGTGAATTGAGTGTTTTGCATTGCATCTTGCTTCTGTGTTTTCTCATTTTCTTTTTGTTTTTGCTTATTTGTTTTCACATTGAGACTTGTATGTTGCTAATGGTAGGTAGTTTTATTACTAGTATCAAGACCTCTTTGGGCGATGACTGCTTCTCAGAGCTGTCTTATAGATGTTGCTGGCTGCTGGCCTCTGAGTCTGTCCAAGGATCCTGCCTGTTCTGTTTATTAGGGATGAAAGGCTGCAGCCCAATTAACCTAGCACCAGTTCCTTGGTATTGGACTGTAGTACTGTTTATGGCCCCTAGACAACCTAGGTATTGGTGTACAAGGAGGATCAATGCATCACAACAGCTGTGTCACCTTAGCTAATTTAGTACAATGAGTAATCATAGTATCAAACATAAATTGGAAAATGACACTGTAGTAACTAATACTTTGTCACCTTTAAGCCTAGTTACAAGGTTTATAGTTATATAGCAAGACCTAAGACAAATCAGAAAATTATATTCAGTAAATATCCCCTCAATAGAACAATTTTACCCTCTTTCACCATAAAGCAGTATTCAGCCAGAGTAAGAGATAGTTAAGGACCTGTGGATTCATAAGGGTAAATGGTATGGGTGTGGTTGTATGAAGAAGAAAGAGAAAAGAAATAGATTATGAAAAATAAAGCAGTGGTAGATGTGAAGAATGTGGTAAGATTAGATTGAGGTAAGAGGCCCTGTTAAAGACTAAAGGGAAATTAGTGGTATTAGATAACAGTAACAGACGACCACCTGGGAAAAGGATTAAAAAATAGGGAGTGGAGATTAAACTAGAGGAAAAGAAAATAAGAAACAATACTAAGGGAACAAATTAAAAGAAAGAAGGTGAGAAAAGAAGGGGGAGAGAAAGAGAATGAAAGGAGGGCCTATTTAAACAAATAAAACAAAGTAATATTAAAGGGACAAGAACACGGGTGGTAAAAGTACAACCTCCACCAGAAGAAAAACATAGTGAAAAAAAGTACCAATAATTGAGGGGAATAAAGAGAGAAGGAAAAGTTTCCTATGTATTTCCCGAGGAGCGTTTTTCCCAGGTCAGTAGTCTTTAATATTGCCAGTCACATTCCTCTTTGCCTGTCTCTACCGTCTGTGAAGTTGCCTGGAAATCCCTGAGTTCCAGGGGAACCTCTCTTCACAGTCTCTTGTTTGTGGCAGTTGTTCTAGCTGGGGGATCAGACCAGGGAAGGTGTGGGGCCTTGTTTCTGATGCTCCTGTTGTGGATTCCTTTTGGTAGGGACCCATGCTGGTTACCCGATGTTTATTCCAGTGTCTCTGGCACAGGCTCCCGGTATCATGTGGAGGCTCCTATGGGCTCCAAACCCGATTCTCGGTCCTGTGGATGCTCAGAGGAGAAACAAATCTGGCCAAGACTAATGTGGGTAGGTTCCTGCAAGCCCAGTGAGGGCACAGAGCGCTGGGGGGTGTCTCACGGGTGTCCAGAGTACCAGGCGGAATAGGCGGCCATTGGCCCTTGCTGCTTAACCAGGCAGAGGACCAGCCTATGGCATCAGGCAGGGGCTCTGTCTGGGGTTTTGGCTGAAAGCAGGGTGGAGACTCTGCTCTACCCAGGGTGCTTGGGACATCCTGTGAAACCCTGGCTGCCCAGGGACTGAGGGTAGAGGTGAGATGGAGACTGGCAGGTCTAGGATTGGAGCAGGGTCCTGAGAGCTCACTGTAGGCTCAGGCCAGCTCAGGGTGCTGAATATGGACTCAGACTGGACCAGTGTTAGCTCTGTGTGCCAGATGAATGTCCCATTTGCGAGGGAGAAACTGCAGGCTCCCAGCAGTGACTCAAGTGTGCTCTGGCTCCAATATGGAAGACTCCCAACACAGGCAATGATTGTGTTTTTCCACTCAGAGTCTGAGAAGCAACAGGTGGGTGGGGGGAGGGAGCAGTTCCCTGGTCACTGGCCTGTGTGTGTGCCAGGAAAAATGCTGCCAGGCTGCAGTTTCTGTTTAGAGAGGGGATGATGAGGTGAAGGCCCTGGACACCCCAAGTCTATCCTGTGAGGCTGGACTGCCATGCTGCGTGGATCCCACTGGCTGTTTGGGAACTTTTAAGTGGCAGTTCCCTGTTGTGTGGACTGAGGTCATGCAGGCCTTCCTGTTGGACTGTTTTGGTGCTTTTGAATGTCTATACATATATTTTGTTTGATCTACAAGTCTCTTCTTTCAAATTGAATTTTTCATCAGGGTTTATGTCCTTCCCCTTCTTCCAGTTACCTGTGTTTTTAATTGATCTTCTCTGAATTTCTCAGATGTGATTCCTCCTCTGTTCAGCATGTTAGACTCCTCTCTCATATTGTGCTTTTTGATATCTTCTTCTTAAACAAGAACTGTAAATTTGGGGTGGACCAAAAAGGAAAAAAGTGAAATAGCAACAGCAAACTCATTTAGCAAAGAGCAGTCCCTTCTGGGGACAACTTGTCTGGTCACAAGGTGGGTCACAGTAGAGGCCAGACTCACCACCCCTGAGGCCAGAGTCTTCCCAGGGCATCTCAAAGTGACAGGCTGCTCATCATGGCCTTTCGGCTGGCGCACACTCAGCAGGGGCAGGGTGGTGGAGGGAGGTGGTGGGGAAGCTGTGCCCCCATCTGCTGGGGCTCACCTCTCCCAACCTGTCCCCACAGCCTTTCCGCTGCGCTCACTGCCATTACTCCTGCAACATCTCGGGCTCCCTGAAGAGGCACTACAACCGGAAACACCCTAGCGAGGAGTATGCCAATGTGGGCAGTGTGGAGCTGGCAGCTGAAGCGCTCATCCAGCAAGGTAGGTGAGGGCCACAGGGCCTGCCCGGCTGCCCTGCAGAGAGTCGCCACATCTACTGTGCAGTTCGGATCTGTGGGCATTCAATTTTGTTAGTTCTTCATCATTGTCATCATGCTCATTATTGTCTGCCAACATTGCTCATTTCCTGGTTCACATTATAAAACTGTCAGAACAATTATAACAAGTGGAAATCTAAAATGAGCAATAGAAATTTACCCAGGGATCCTCCTGTGCCCAACAGTGTTCCTCGAGCAGTATTGCCCTCCTCTCTGTCCACTCCTAACATTTGCAGAGGAAAGTGTAGGGTCTTCTCTTTACTCACCACTGACAGGAATGCTTTGTTTATTTTTGACTTAACATCTTCCTAATTATAATTTCTAGGACCTTTTTGTAATACAGCATTGCATACAAGTACTTTAACAGTTCTGTTTCTAAACATTGTGGGGTTTTTAGAGGGTTTTTTTTCTGTTTGCAATTTTAATTAATATTATTGTAAGCATATTTATAGATGAACTTGTTGGGTCATCTAAAATTATTGAGTATGGAGATTACCTGTACCTATTCATTCTAAAAGGAAAAATATTTTAGAACATTGAAACTAATGAGAATTGATGAAAACTTCTGGTAGTATTGAAAAGTTTATTGTTTTCTTTTTTCTTTTCTTTCTTTTTTTGCTTTTTTCAATAAATAGTCACACATTCTCACTTGGGAAGTTTTAGCTCTTGTGCTGTTACCGTACAGAAAAATTCTGCTGTATTTAGATCTGCACTTTGGTAATTCAACTAAGAATGATTGCAGCATACAGCATAGTGGTTGCCACTCCAAGTCCTGTGTACTATTTGAGGCTAAAGACGGTTTTAGAAATCTGCCCCTGGTAAACAGAGATGTGGGTTGTGAGCCCTGCTGCAGGTGGGGAGGCTCAGTTGTCTCAGTGAGCGTGAACCCCTGCTTGCCATAATGGCCATGAGATGCATCTTAATGTAAAACAAAGAAATTGGCTGTATCCTTCAGCACTTTCAGTGACAGAGCCAGTGTACAGAAATAGATGAGCAGCTGAGAAATCTCAGGATCATTTTAAAACTGTCCATCTGGGGTATTGGAGAGCATGTGCTTTTTCATTTTCTTCAGTGGTGTTTTATGGAGCTGGGGAGCAGGATGATGTGGTGGCTCAAGTCTTCCTCCTTCTTCTTTAGCTGAGCCATCTTGCATAGTTATCTAATATTTCCTTCTTAAGCCCTTGACCTGTAGGATGGAGCTCACTCAGAGCAGCCATCTGCTGAGACGGTACAGAGGGTGCAATGTGAGACTGCTCAAATATATGGCATGCAATACTTTTTATCTGTAGATTTGTATTTTTTTTTCCTGGAAAATCTGAGAATTCTGGAGCCATTACTTCCCCCCACCTCTGGTGCTAGGGAATTGTGAGATTGGTGTGATCATTCCTATTTTAAAACAAGTAAATGAACAAAGGACAAACAAATGCCAGCCACAAAGTGGGCAAGTGGTCAAGCCCAACCCAGTCTTCTGCTTCAGTGCCTGCTGACCTGCCACTCCATGTCTGATGTGAAGTCTGTAGAAGTTGGCACTTATTAAAGAGGTAGAGGAGGAAGGGGGGGAGCGGAAGGAGGAGGAGCAAAGGCATAGTCCTGTTCTGTGATATGGACTGGGTCACACCTGCCACATGGCAGTGTGTTGAAAGGTCAGTCACACGTGGGGTACTGTTCACTTCCTCTTAGGTCATTGTCTCCATGAGAGTTGCCAATTCAACCCACAGCTGACTGTGGGACCTTTCTTTCCAGCCTTTCCCTGTTGTCCAGAGATAACATATATCCCAAGATTTTGGGGAGTTTATGAAAGGAGGAAAGGGTATGGGGAAGACCACCTTAAGCTCTCATTCTCAGGTTTCTTTAGTGGGATTCAGGCCAGCCATCTAGCTAATGATAAAACACATTGCTTTCTTCTCTGGTTTCCCCACATTGTTTTTCTTGAGGAGTCCATGGGAAGGGGGGCTGAGTTTGATACGGGATTCAGATATCCCTGAATTCTGTGGCTAGATATACTATAACAGCATGCCAAGTCACTTGGAGCCCTCTAGTGCTTGGTGTGATTTCCACTTGACTCCTACCCCTAATACATATCCTCATTCTGAGCTGAGGTTCTGGCTGGGTCACAGGCCAGACACCAAGGTTAAAAACAACAAAAAATGGGAATGTCACAAGGTCCTAGTCCATATGTCACTTGCTGCTCTTAGAGCAAAATTATTCTATAGATACTTTCCTTTGAAATTTAAGCTGCTTTGGCTGCAGTTATTCTTTAGTGCCTATCTTAATTTCTTATGGCTGCTGTAACAAATGGCCTAAAAGAACACAAACTTATTTTCTTTGAGTTCTGAGAGGTCAGACGTCCAGTGTTTTACTGAGCTAAAATTGAGGCACTAACAAACCTGTGTTCCACCCAGATACTCTAGAAGAGACTGTGTTTTCTTTACTTTTCCCAGCTTGTACAGGCACTACATTCCTTGGCTTGTGGCCCCCTCCTCCATTTTCTAAGCTAGGAACAGCTAGTGGAATCTTTCTTACATCAAATCACTATGACCGCCTTTTCTTCCTCTTGTAATGATCTTTGTGATTACATGTGCCTCATTCAATGACCCAGAATAATTTCCTGCCTCAGGATCATTAACTGAGTCACATCCAGCCATGTTCATCTGCTCTGGGATTTAGGGTGTTCATGTCCTTAGGGGACCCAATATTTGGCCTACTGCATGCTTTGGCTTCCTTAAAGATAGGAGCTTTAGCATTTTCACCTTAGTAAAGGTGAAATCTCAGACACAAGAGTTTAAAGATGCAGTTTTGGGTCACTTGAGCAAGTGCAGATTCTTCTTACTGCCCTGCCCAGTGTTCCATGTCATTCCGGGACTTATATTATTGAATGTGAAATTGAATTCTCCATAATGTCAGGCACCACAAAGGAGCGCAAATAGTTCAAGGCCTAAAACTTCTCTAGAATATATTGCATTCCACAAAGAGCAAAGGAGGTCATGATCCATTTTTTACATTACTCCTGAATTTCTGTGCTTCTGCCTGGTTAATCAGTCTGAGGAAAATATGAACTGGGGTTCAGTTTTTTGTGGTGCTTAATATCAGTTCTGTGAGTAAATTCACCAAGTCTGCTGTTGACCTTTACTGTGTGTTGTAAGAATGTAATGAATTGAAATAGAAATTAATTTCTCTCAGCTTTAATGTCAATTAACTAGCATAGTTTATACATTCAGTCTAGATGAACATATTTCATTTGTTGTTCTTTAATTAAAGTTACTTTGGCAAAGGTTGAAGTTTTAATTATTGTGGGGGCATTATCATATTAAGTTTAATTTAAACATAATATAAAGATGTTTTTCTCCCGAAATTAGTTTTCATGAAAGAGTACCCCAGAAGGAATTTTTAATTTCATTGTGAAGCCTGTGTTTAACCTTAGGTTGTTGAGTTTTGGTCATTGCTGCTTATTAAGTCTTTCAAGGAGAAGCAGGTCAATTTAGTCAAAGGAAAACATGGAAATTCTCACACCTTGGAAGTTTTCAAAGATGGTCAGGGGAAAAGACATCATTTTAGTTGATTAATAAGTGATAACAACGGAGGTTAAAAACTAAGTTTAATTATCCTCTGGTCAATAAAGAACAAGTCTGTTTGATTTTATCTAGAAAAAGAATGCAGTGTGTTTGAGTTTCAGAAAATAAGTATCTATCTGAGCTTCCTTTTCTGTAGAAACCCCAATTATAGAATAGTTCTCTGTATAGATTCCGCTGACATGGAATTGGTTCAGGAGATGGAGTACATCATAACTGCCTGTGGAAGATGATTAAATTGTGTGATGTGTTCCCATGACATCATCTAGTTCTTATATAAGTTGTCCAGACAACTTCACTATCAGGACAGAATCCTTCTACTTCCTTAGTGCTCTGTCTTAGTTACTTTCTCATTGCTGGGACAAAATACTTAACACACACAAGTTAAGGGAGGATAGGTTTATTCTAACTCAGTTTATAAAGGCTTCAGTCCATAGTTGGCTGGCTCCAAGGCAGGGCAGCATTACAGATGGGCATGACAGAAGAGAAACAGTCCATGGCATAGCAGGCAGGAACCAGAGCCATGAGGGGAGGAAGAGGGACATATTTATATACGGACCATGCCCACAGTGACCCACCAGGCTTCACTTTCCAGCATCACACCCAGCTATAAACCCATAGATGGACTAATCCAGTATCACACACCCACGATCCACTCAAAAGCCCCATGTATGAGCCCATGAGGCTTTGAGGGAACATCGAGATATAAGCCATAATAGGCTTCAGTGAGCAATAAATAAATATGACAGCTTGGCATACACGCAGTGGTCAGCTCAACTATTTCACTGCCTAAATATAAGCATCTCTAATTTGTTCAGGTCATAGAGGTTTTAGAGAAATAGAACACTGTTTCACATCATGTGACATGTACGTCAGGGACGTAGAAGGGTCTGACTGTTGGTGAGGTTTCAGGGCTCCAGAGACAGGATGGGGAGCCAGTGCAGGAGTTTGAATCAGAAAGATGCTTTGTAGCAGTAAAGATCAAATGAGATCTTGAAGGTAGAACTTCTTTATTAGCTTTCCATCACTGGGACAACATACTTGATAATATCAATGAGAATGAAAATGAAGAAAGGGGATTTAGAGGAGGAGAGAGACAAACAGGAAAGAATGGGAGATTTAAAAAAAGAATCAAGCTGTATTACGTACATGTGCCCACTCTCCAAGATGATTGTAAACTACATGTTTTGCAAACATGTACTAGTAAAAAAAATACCTGACATACACAATTTGAAGGAGAAAGGATTTCTTTTAGCTCGTAATTTCAGCCCATGGTTGGCTTCCTCCAAGGCAGAAAGATCATGGTGGAAAGTGAGGCAGAAAAAAGATGCTCACTTCAGGCAGGGCAGAAGCGAAGAGAGCAGGAGAGCCTCAGGGGAAGGGAGGAGAGACCAGATATAGTACCCAGGGTTGAACCTCGTGACCCACGCAGACCCACCCAGAAGTAGAGTTTTGCTGATCTCCTAGATGTTCTCAAGCCAATGGATTTGACTGTCAAGATTAATCATCATAGCTTTCAAAACTGGAGGTGTGGCAGGCATCCTGACAAGGGAAGGCGCTGTGTGGCCTGAAAGACCAGGAAAGGAGCCCTCTAGGGTAAAGGGATGGACACTGTCACAGTGCGGCAAGACAAGGCTGCCGGGCCTTCCAGGATATGTGAGGTGCCAGAAGTTTATTCTGGAGTGACAGAGACCCATGACAGCATTTTACATGTGTGTGGCATGTGACTCAGTTTGTTTTGAAAAGCACATTCTGTGCTTTATTTGAGAAGGCAAACAGTGGAGAACAGGGCTGCCAGGAGATCAGTTAGGAGCTGGTTGCTCCCATCTGTGCAAAAGGCCACAGTAGCAGGGATTGGGAGGGCTGTGGAGGTGCTGGGACTGCATAGTTCTCTTTGGGCCTCATGAGGATGAGGCACCTGCTAAGCAGCCTTTGAGCCTGGAGTTCAGGGCAGAAATCTGGGCTGGAGATGCAGGCAGGACCATCACCACCGTATGGATCATATGTGAAGGGCACTGAGTTCCCCGGGAAGCAGCAGGTCGGGGCATGCCCTCGTTTAGAGTGGGTGGGAGGAGGAGCCTGGAGAAGGTCCGGGAAACCAGCCTGCAGTCCAGGGGCTGGGCTGTGGACAGAAGTCAGCTAAGGGGCGAGCAGGAGGTCCAGTCATATGAGAGGGAAGCCAGGCTCAGGGAGGCCTGTCCCAGAGGCCTGAGAAACAGCATGCTCAGTGGAGTGTGCCCAGCGCCCAGCTTGAGCTTGGATACTCAAGGAGCTTTGTAAAAATGTCTGCAGTTGTGTCTCCACATTCACAGTTTGTGCAATATACAATTTAACTACAGTTTAGTGTCCACATTCCCTTTCACTTTCATGTTAGCATATTACATGGAGAGTGTTTAGTGTTTACTTTGCCTGCATCTTTCACTTCAGAGTGATGATGGAGAGTTCAGCTGTTTGTTCTGGAAAAGACATCCAGTCTGACAGGGCTGCACCTGTGCTATAGGGCCCAGGGGTAATCCCTGGAGGGGCGGAGACCCTCATGCATATTTGGAATCTATCCAGGCCTCACAGGTGCAGACAGACAGAACTCTGTAGTAGACAGCTTTGAAAGATCTTACCCAATACTCTCATTTTGAAGTAAGAGATGAGGACTTCAGTGGTGGACGAAGAAACCCTCGAAGTTGGAATCTTGACAGTAAAAACAACTGTGTTGTGTTATTTGCCTCAGCACCCTTAGATCAGAGCAAGGAAGGCCAGTAGTTGGGGTTTCTGGGCTGTGCCCTTACCTGTGGGCTTGACAGAGAAGTTGTGGAGGATGAGAACTCCACCGGCCCAAGTATACGCTCTTTGAGGAGGCACCACAGAGAGGACAGGTGTAGAGTGCCTACAGAAGGCAAAGAAGGATGGTGGTGTAAGTGACAGAACGGGAGGGCTCTAGGCATACTACTGGGGTGCTTGGATTTAGCCCTAGGCATGGCACTCAGCAGTTACATGTATGGTTGCATGAGGTTTCACAAATAACAAATTGGTAGGGAGGATGCTTGGAGTAGGAGAGGTCAAAGAGCTCTGGAGGGCTGTGCACTAAAGTCAGTGAATATCATAGACCTTAAGTGAAGAGCGCCCAGGTGGCAGTGTTCCAGAGGGATACAGTGCCGTGGGAGGAGGGATAAACCTGGAATCCTATTGCAGTGGCGCTGGCATGGCTGCCCTGGCCTGGCCTCTTTCTTACTTGGGCTTCTGAATGTGGGCACCCCCCACAGAGAGGACCTTGTAGAGAACATAAAGATGGTGAGGAAGGAGCAGGCTTTTCTTGGTGTGGTTCATGTTGGGAGTTTTGTTACCCAAGTGTTCTGAGATCCCAGGTTGCAGTGAAAGAAGGACAGTGCAGAGGAGAAGCCACTGGGTTCTAGTAGAGAAAATAGCTGAATAGGGTTCATTGTGGGAGGGGAGAGAGGCCCGGGACCTTGCCACTGGGGGAGTGAGTTGCTGGAACTGGATGGGCTCCATGCTCTACACAACCAAGCAGTGGCACTTTGCCTAGGGTCCCAGGGGCAGGCCCAGTGGCCCTGGCAACAGGCCTGACCCTGGCCAGGAGAGCGGGGGTCTCATGGCATTACTGTAGTGAGGCGTGACTTGTTCAGAGATGTTTGTCCAGTGTCTAGCTGAGTTGCTGCTTCTGCTGTAATTTTAGAAAGAAGGATAATCTTTCTGTGTGAATCTTTAGTTGTTTTGGGTTTTATTTTTTTGCTCTTTTGTTTTACCTTCAGTTTCACATTCTCCTAATTAAAGCACCAAACGCTTCCTGGAACATGTGCGAAATTTAATCAGTTCAATAAATAGTGACATTTCAGGATGTGACCAGTTTTTAAATTTGTTCTGTGCTGGGAGAGTCACCTGGGAATTTGTACCAGTGACCTAGCTTCTGATGTGAAGGAGACTGAGAATCTGGCTCCTGTTCTTAAGTGGTTTGGGCAAAGAAAACTGAGAAAAGCAGCCATTGCCCTTGTATTTTTTTCTGGTTTGTTACGTACAAATAAAAACATGAAAGTGATTTTAGCCACTTACATACTCAGCCAAGGGAATTGCGTTTCTTATTTCATTTCTTCCTGGCATTTAAAATATCAAGCATGTGTTAGGCTCTTTGCAAACGCTTATTCAGTAAGTAAGAAAAGAATATTAAATTTTAAAATATCTCTCTCTCTCTCTCTCTCTCTCTCTCTCTCTCTGTCTCTCTCTCTCTCTGAAAGACATCTACACTGTTGCTGTTGTATTCCAATACTGAGGGAATCCTGAAAGGACTCTTAAGTACTAGAGACAAAACATTACACTTATTAGATTCAAGTTATTTGGCTAGGAAGAACTGTGGAATTTTTATGTGCTTTGAACACATCTTTTTACCCGTCTGTGCTTGCAGGTGGCTTGAAATGTCCTGTCTGCAGCTTTGTTTATGGCACCAAATGGGAGTTCAACAGACACTTGAAGAACAAACATGGCTTGAAGGTGGTGGAAATTGATGGAGACCCCAAGTGGGAGGTAACTTTCTAGAGTATGGTATTGATCTTGACATTTCTAAACACAAATGCCATCCAGGCCTGCCCAAGAGCTGAGCATGGACAGTCAAACTTCAGACCATTGGATCTGGTGGCTGGGAAATTTCTGAAACCTTTTCAAATCACATCCTTGGGTATAGTTGGGTGGGATCTGGACCATGCATGTGGATTCTTGTTTTGAATAAGAATAAGAGCATCACCTCTTCCTTGAATATTTATATTGACCTCATTGACCTTTATACTTCTCATATTATCAAATCCAGAGTATTAGATCTTGCATCTGAAATAAGAATGGAAGGCAAGGAGTTCATTGCCACCTTCACTGTGAAAATTGGGAAGGGCCTCATTTACTGATTCCAGTCCCTACCCTGCCTCTATTGAAGGCCTGTGCTCCTACTTGCCATCTTTGCTTTCTCTGAAGTAGTTGGAACCAGTTAGAACCAGCAGTCATTGCTCTTTTCAAATACCATGAGCTAATGGCAGTTTCTTAAGACATAGCTTCTCACTCAGCACTATTTACATTTGGATCTGGATAATTCTGTGGTATGGAGGGCTATACTGTGCCACATAGGATGTTTGGCTGCATTTCTGGCTACTTTCCACTTGATACCAGTACTATCACCCCCATTCCCCTGGCCACCATTAAGATAAACACCAGACATTGCCAGTGTTCATTGTTCTGTGGCAGTCAGTATCAGCCCCAGTTGATATGAGGACTTCATAAAGCATTCACTGATTAGGAGTAAGGGCTTTGAAACAAAATCCACAACACATGAAAGTGATAAAACATCATGACAATGTCGGACTCTGGAATGACAAAGAAGAGTGGTTCAGTGGGAGGGAACATGTTAAAATAATCCATCATGATAATAGAACTAGGGAGAAAAATGATCATTTTCATAGGTGTAGAAAAGGCATTTGACAAAATTCAACATTCACTGATTAAAAACAGATGATAAAGTAAGAACTTGATGAATGCATCCTAAAGATGATAAAAATATATGTGTCTCAGCCCAAAAGCAAGTTGCTTACTTCATTGAGAAACACTACTGGAGGGTTTCCCCTGAAGTCAGAAACAAGACAAGAATGCCGAGCAACCCTACTAGTCATTAACACTCTAAGGGGACCATCAGCCAGTGTGGTTAGAAGGGGCAAAGCTAATACAGCCAGAACACCAAAATATTTCTGTTTGCATGTGATGGGATTATATTTTTGAGAAATATGAAAAAATGAATGAAAAACTACTACAGACAATAAGCAGCAAATTTAAAGATCAATGACAGTAATTAATAGCATATATTCACACATGTATACACATACCTCTGTGTATATATAGGTATGTGCATATACGTGTTTATGTGCTTGTGTACACACATATGTACATATACAAAGTCAGGTAGACAGAAGGGAAGCAAAGACACTGTTTATTATAGGAAACAGAAAAATAGAAATCGAGGCATAGCTCTCACAAGATATAAACAGGGAAAGCCATAAAACACTCCTTAGAGACATAAACGTGGAGTTGAACAAATGAACAGGCATCCATCAAGAATAACATAAAGATGTTAATACTCCTGGAAGTAATTCATAAGATGATGTATCAATATAATGAAAATATCATTAGATTTTTTTTCTGGAGCTAATCAACTTGATTTCTGAAGTTAATTTGGAAGAATAATTAGGACTACTTAGAAACACCTCGGAAAACTGGTAGGAGAATGCTAGCAGATATCAAAACATGTTCTGAATCCTCTATAACTAGGACATTGTAGTATTTGTGCATGAAGAGGTCTATTGAAACAGAAGAGAAAATTCAAAGAAAGCCCAATGATATGTGGACATTTAGCATGATTAAAGATGATAGTTCATATTGGTAGGAGAAACATGGGCATTTTTAGTGAGCCATGTAGAGTAGCTTAATAGCCACAAAGAAAAAGGTAAAGTTGAGTCTGCTTCCCAGAACTTAAGACAAATTTCAAAATGATCAGAGACTTAAATGAAAAAATAATGATGTTTTACAAATGGTAGATGAAATCATGAGTGAATTCACCTATGAAATGAATGTGAAGAACTTTCTTAATTTTCAAAATGTAGATTCAACAATAGAAAAACTGAAAAAAAATTAACTGCATAAAATACTAAAATGCCTTCTAGAAAAGAACTCATAAACAAAAAGATAAAATATTTAAAAATTTTCAGTAATATCATAGAAAAAGAATATCATTTTCTTGTCTTCCATATACACTGATTAAAAAAAAATCAACAACCCAATAGAAAAATGGGCAAGAAATAAGAAAAATTCCTGGAAAAAATGCAAATGACCTTGAAAATCTGAGAACATGATCAGCTCCACACATAATAAATGAAGTATTAATTAAAACTAGACTGAGATAGAATTTCTCACTTGTTAGATTGATAGGAATCCAAAAGTTTAACATCATCCCTGCTAGAGAAGCTGTGAAGAAATATGCTGCACCCACCCCTGGGAAGGGGATAGCCGTATGTAACAAAATTACATATGTTCCTGTGTCTGTTAACCAGACTATCCTCCTGGTAGTAAACTACATCAGAGTTACACTGTCAAAGTGAGAAGGGTCTGTGAAAAGCTGTATGTTGGAGCACATGGCTGTGAACAACCCAGTGTCCTTGAGCCAGAGACTGAGAGCCATGCAGCCGTGAGATGGAAGAGGGGTGCCCCTGGCGGGTTCCATGGGGTGTCCCCAGGGGGCACTGTTACATGAGAAAGTGCCCCGATCAATGTTGAGGCAGTTTTGCTACTATTTTTTTTTTTTTTTACAGAGTCATCCTGGCGGGTGTTTGGCTCACACCTGTAAGCCTAGCACTCCAAGAGACTGAGGCAGGAGGGTGGCAAGTTCAAGCTGAGCCTGCCTGCACAATTTAGTGAGCTAATGAGATCCTGTCTCAGAATTTAAAAAATAAAATAAAAAGGGTGGTGGATGTGTCTTAGTAGGAAGGACCTGGGTTCAATCCTTTGTACTACCGGGGTGGAGCGGGGGGAGTATATGTGACAAATGAATCAACTTGTGTCACAGATGAGTGATGTGCTCACCCTGAAAATGATGGGAAGAAAGGTAACAGTGGAAAATAGTGTTTTTGCCAGATACTCTAAGGCGGAAGAAAGAGCTGTAGGTGAGATCTACTTGGTAAAAGTGTTTGTCACAGTGGCACAGATAGTTCAGGGGGTAGGAGTTCGGGCTGTCACCTGGTTCCTGGGAATGCCTTGCACAGAGTGCTGTCCTTCCTGAGAGTACCTATCACAAAGTTTCCCCAGAATGAGAGGAGCTGTGATATTTGGGCTATGTCCTGTCCTTTTGCGGGCAAACACATAGCTTGGGTCCAGTGCTGGCTAATAATGTTACTCGTGGTACTTAAAAGTGGAAATGCCACCTCTTCTTTTTGTTAATTTCTGCATTTATCAAATATTTATTGAGTGTCTACTGTATGTCAAGCAGGAAACATCTAAATGAAATTGCTCAGTTAGCTGTAAAAGGACAATTACATGCTACTGTGAACCTCGGTGTCAGCTACTGATGAGTGCTTATAGTTTATAACTTTGGTTCATAAAAACTTCAAAGTCCTTTTTCTTCTTTATTGATGATACTCATGTTTTGCTTGTATTTCCCAGCCCTAAAAGAAAGAGATCATTATTGATATCTAATTCTGTGAAAATTCTGACCCACACCTTCTCTAGATACCGGGAACCTATGAATGTCGCTTCAACTTCTACACTCACCAGTCTGATAGTTACCAAATACATTTCTTGCAATCATTTTTGTTTATTGTATCCTTCATATAAAAATAAGAACGGCATGAATGGCTGCGATTTACTGGACTCTTACCATGTTGCAGGATCTGTGCTTTTACATGCTATATAATACCTATCCTCTCTCTTTCCTTGCCTTTCTCCCATCAGCTGCTCCATGGCCTCTATTAGCCACATGGCACAAGGCCCCAGTGTAAGAGGCAGTGTTGGTAGCAGTGGGAGGAGGCAGAGGAGCCTTTAGAAGTGCATGTTTGAGAATATCTGAACTTACAAATCTCTGATTATGAACAGTATACCCTGCTCCCTGCTGCAAGCATGGGTATCACTAAAGCTGGTTTTACAAAGTTTTGGTTCTTGCAAACAAATGGTTTCTTTGGGTAGTATATTTATTGGAGCAGCTGATTTCTTGGGAGGAGGTGGCAGGTAAATGAGGGACTATAAATGGTTCCTTTCTTCTGTGTGTTTGTCTCCATACATTATCCTGGAACTTCTGGGTAATGGTTGACCTTTTAGACGGCCACTTACGTAATGTGGTTGTGTTTAGCCAGCAGCAGAAATGCCCGAGGAGCGATCCACTCAGTATCTGCACATCACAGAGGCTGAAGAAGACGTTCAGGGGACACAGGCAGCTGTGGCCGCACTCCAGGACCTGAGATACACCTCTGAGAGCGGTGAGGACACTCCTGTCTTTGACATCTCAGAGCTGGCTTTTACATGCTGAGTAAATGAACGTGTGAATGAGTGATGTTTGCCACTCGGCCCACATCAAAGCCCTAACCTAGCCTTCGAAGTGTGAGAAGCAGTCCTGTTGTCAGGTACCAGGATCTCTGTCTCTGGAAATGGTCCTGAATACAGTGCCTGCAGCAGGTGTGCCTCGTGACAGGGCTGTAAGATTTTCCCACATCATAACACACTTCATTCCAGATCAGCCTGAGAGAGGAGTGGATCTCACTGTTCACACTTCACAGCTATGCAGGTGACTTGGATTGCTAGTGGTGGCTGGTGGGGGGACAGACACCCATGCCCACTCGTGGTGTTGGGGCTGTCCTGGAGCCTGGCTCTCCAGATTTCTCAGGCATGGTCCCTGTTGCATGCTTCCTTACGGTCATCCATCCCAGGGTCCGAGGTCCAGGCAGGCAGTATCCGTGGGTGGCAGAAGTAGCTGAAGGTGTGGTGTGCAGAGTCCCCTTGAAGAGCATTTGGAATGCAGGGCTACTGATCCCCGCCCTACAGTCTCCCCAAAAGGCCCTGCCAGGATTTTTATATCAAATGTGATGATTCTGAAGTTTCAGATAAATTCAAAACCAAACTCTGTGCTAGTCTAGTGGCAGGCAGTTGGGCATTGTTCTTAGAAACAGCTTTTTCTGATGCTCTGTGAATGCAAGTTAATGTTACATTCCGCAGCTCCATATATATTTGGGGGAGAGATTAAGCAAGTGAGATTAAGAGCATCTTTGACTCATCAAATGCCGTAGGATATAGGAGTGAGGAAAACACCGTTTCCACCCAATTCTTAAATCCCCCATGCTTGGCTGTAAGAAAGCTGCACCCCAGCTCCTACAGACCAGTCAGTTTAGGGAGATTAATGGGCAGGGCTGGACGGAATTCAGAGACAGAGCTAAGGAGTGGCCTGGGCTGTTAAGACTAGCCCCTAGACTAAGACCCTGCTTCAATGTGTGTTTCCTTCCTCTGTGTTCAGTGATTGCTCAAGACCTGTAAAACACAGCCTGTCTGTCTTCATCTCCTATAAACATAGCACATGCACATGCACACATACCCATGTACACACATGGCTTCTAAAATACATGTCAAACTTTGCATGCAGCTCAGCAGGCCAGGCCCTCCTGCTCTGGCTCCAAGCTGCCTGAGCTGCCCTGCCTCTTGCTTCCCGTCCCTGGGCTGTGGTTCTCAGCACTGGCTGCATTCCTCACCTGGGTTCTCCAGTGGTGTCTGGAGTGAGGGTTTGGCCCCTTCCTCCCCACATCATTTTCTCTACCCATCTTACCCCACCTCCAACACTCAGATTGTGTGTCACCTACTGGGGACCCACTTCACTTTCCTACACTTCTGCCCAACTGTCCTGCTGATACAGAATCTACTGGGCTACAGGTGATGTAATGATTTGCTCACAGGTGTGTCCCAAGAGCCTGTGATCCCAGGAAGGAACTGATACGGGGGATTGCGTTAGGTCTTGCCTGTGGGAAACATAGTTCCTTAGGGCTTGGTAAGTGGTCATTGAGGGAGTGACTGGATGAAAAATTGACACCTAACCTCAGTGTATTTTACAGGTAAATATTTTAGTCTTTTGATGCTGGGATTGCCTGGCTGCAAGGCAAATTTGTGAGCATAATTCATTCTAGAAACATGCTTATAGTCCAAAGCACTTGTATATCAAAGTGAATTGCCCCATAAGAAATAATGGAAACTCAGATGATTCATTCCACAACCCAAAAATATATAAAAATGATTACAATACTGTAATATAATACAAAATCATAAAGAAAATACAAATTCAAAAAATAAGCAAATTAACCTGCATTTACCTTTAATTAAAACAGAAGCTCAAGCTTAAACTGGTGTGGAGTTTGCAAGCTCCCTGGTTGAGACATCTTTGGATGTTTTGCGCGTCTCCTATGCAGTTTACTTGGCACACTTTCTGTGGTCACCTCCCATGTACTCAAGAGAAATCGGCTCTGCATGTGACCATGTCAGTTGGTACCCTCAGTAGTGAGGGACAGTCTTGTGTCTGCAAAGCTAAGACTCAGAACATCTGGGCTTAAATTCTGGCTTTGTGACATAATTGGCTCAGTGGCCTGAGGCAAGTCTTTTTGCTTTTTTGTGCCCAACTGACAAGTCAGTGAAGTGGGGATAATATCACAGTGCCATCTCCTTACAAGATGCTTGGGGTTTTGAGAGGTTCTCAAAGAAAACACTTGTTAAGCCGTAAAGTAACATACTAATTGTTTCTCTTGTCTGAGTGAGTGATTACTGAGAACCCATGTGTCCTCCGGGAAAGGCATCACCCAAGGGAAGCCAGGCTGGTTTTGCATGGGATGCTCCACAGCTCAGTGGCCTTGATGGTCTCCTGTTTGCCTCTTCCTCCTAAGGCGACCGCCTTGACCCCACGGCTGTGAACATACTACAGCAGATCATCGAGCTGGGTACTGAGACTCACGATGCCACTGCTGTAGCCTCAGTAGTTGCCATGGCACCTGGGACAGTGACTGTGGTAAAGCAGGTAAGATCCCTCTGTTCCAACATATTGTCCCCTCTTGCCACTGTCCACCCCCCCCCTTATGTTTCCAGGACTTTGCCTATAGCAAATTTGCGATGAAATTGGTCTAGTCTCCTGCATTTTCTTCCACCTTAGATTATTATGGAATTGCACTTTTGGTAGCACTTTTGGTAGCACATCCGTAGGGATGTGTTTGGGGAAAGAGGTATAGTATATTTAACAAACACTCTGGAAACTTTTCATTCATCTCCTTTCGAAGAATCTCAGAATGAAAAGGACATGATGTGGACTCAGTTGGGCACATCTGTGGTGAAAAGCAGCCCTTTTTTCCTGAGACCCCACCAAACAAAAAGACTAGCAGAACCTGGGGATAGACAGAGAGTTCAGGAGTATTTCCCCATGGACTTCCTGAATAGATATCACCTCTTCAGGATAGGAGGAAAATGATCAGTTTTAAAGAAAGGTCACTGCACTAAATGAATAGTTGCCCTGTTTGGCTCATTTCGTATTCTGTCCTCAACAAGGGCTTTACCATCTGTTAGAGTACAGCATGTTTGATAGTTAGAGCATCTTTTCTATCTGTTTATACCCGTCTCTCCATCTACTGTCTCACACTTCACTTTATGAAAGATTTCAGCTGGTCTACACAGGTACTTTAAACACAGAAAACAAAAGCCGAAAACACATCAAAGCCAGGGAGATATATAATTTAGAATCAAAGTCCAAGTTCATGAAGAAAGTTGCAGTGAAGGCCCGAGTTTTGCACAGTTATCTGTGTTTACAGTGACTCATTCACCAGGTGTTTATTGAGTATAGTACCTACTGTTGTCTAGCAGGGTTAGGTTGCTGGGTTCCTGGAGGGAACCAATGCTGCATTCATGGTGGTCACTCTGCTGGGGAAAGGGTAAAACATGAACAAAACAGTACGATGTAAAGGTTGTCAGATGGTGAACAAGTAAGCACGGAGGAGAAAAGTGGAACAAGAAAGGGGTGTGGGGTTGAGGACTGTGGGCTGATACTGCCTTGTGTAACTGAAAACAAGAAGGAAGTGGGAAGCAGTTCCCTTAGGGAATGGGTAAGCTTGGCCTTAACATCAAACACAGCTCTCAAGTGTGAACTCTCAAGCAATGTGTTCCCAGTGGCCTGCCTTTGATGGGTCAGGAGTGGATGTCCCATTGCTTTCATCATAACTTCCCCCTAAGTGGCCTAAGGCACAACTCAGAGTGTAAAATGTAGCCCAGGTAAGTCTGTGGGGTGACTGGAACATTCTGGCTGAACTCTGGATTTTCTGATCTGTTGTCAAAACTCGGTGGATATAGAGAAATATTTGGATTATGTGTTCTACACACCCTCCTCCACAGTGTGGTTTCTCTCAAGGTCTTGGACAGAAGTTGGACAGTACGCAGGTAGGTGTTTCAGCCTGCTGTGACCTGGTATTCTGTGGAGGTTGAGAATAAACCATATACTTCCAAGCTAAACAGATTTTACCTTGTCTTGATATTTACTAGCTTCCAATCTTCAGACTGTTTTGTAAATCCCTTCTGGAACTTCTCACTTGCATCTTGACACATGGAGTCCAAAGCTAGACCTGGTACTTCAGGAAAGGCCTAATTAGGACAGTATCAGGAGGAAGTTGGGTGTTTCCTACTTGCTAAATCATTTTGAGGGTGCAGGAAATTGCTACTGATTGTGATTTCTATCTTCTTCCTCAGAGCAGGATTGATTTGCTGCTACTGGGGACATGATTTATTGAGCATCGTAGGCAGTGCAGTGATACATGAGGTTGCAGACTTAGATATACTTCCAGGCATTAGACTGATGGTACAACAGGGAATGAGGCAGATAAGTATCCCATACAACCATTGTAAACAAGGCAAGTGTGTTTGCAGGAGGCAGAAATACTGGCACCCTTGCAAGAATCTTCTTTCTTAATGAAAACACAGGGCTAAGTGTGGTGCTGTCGAGCACAGTTGTGAGGAGCTGCATCAGAAATGTTCCCCAAGAAGTTGTGAGTCCTAGTCATTATCTTGTTAGCCTGGCACAGCCCTAGATCAGCTCTGGGTTTTCTGGCCATTGGTCCATGGTAGATAGGAAGATGGACAGGTGAAATGCATAGACATTCAGCTCCTACACTTGTATCACCCACTCCTGTAGCAAAGAAATTGAGATGCTTCAGGCTCTATCAGGTGAAAGAATGCCCTCTGATTTCATTTGTCCCACCACTGAAATTGTTTTGTTTTGTTTTGTTCTGTTTTTGTATTTTTGGTACCAGGGATCAAACTCAGGACCTTGCACTTGCCGCCACTGAGCTAACTCCCCAGCCCCTCATCACTTAAATTGAAATATAGTTGATTTTGTTGTAGTTGATTTTGATATAGTTGATTGATTTCCATTTTTCTTTTTGGTAACTCTGGTTTAGGACTTTACAGTCATGAACCACTGAAATGTGAGCCCTAGCATACCTGCCAGAAAGTGACAGTCTTCTCCCTTCAGTGTGTGGGGTGTGTAGCCTTGATGCTGGGGACTTCCTCTTGCTCCAAGTAAAGATATAGCAGACACTTTGAATAGCTGCTCCATCAATGCTTATAAAGTAGACCTGACTACATTGTAGATTTCATGTTTTAATTATCTGATTATATTCTATAAATTAATGCTACAGAGAAAAAAGCAAACCTCATTGTAAAGCTCATGATGTAATATTACAGAATAAATGTTTAAAATTATTATTACTATTGGGATAGCATATTTTGAGATCTTTTCAAAATTTCCTGTCTTGTAACATCTTCCACTGGACCCCCCCCCAAAAAAAAATTCTAAGTTGTACGTGAGTTGGTTCTTGGTGTTAAAAATGTTAGGATTTATTTTCCATACAAGCAGTTGTATGCTCTGTATATCATTTTATCTTTTTCCCTGATTCACTAATGTTAATTGAAAAGAGTCTCTCATGTCAAAAATCTATCACTGACAATTAAAAGTAATTAACCCTAAGTCTTCAGGTTTTCAGTTTCTGGGATGAAAATAATGGTAGGCCTGTGGATAGGTGGACAGTGTTTGGGAAACAAAGAGCTGATAAAAAGCTGTTTATTTCTGTTTTCGCCTTGCTTTTTAACCCATCTAAGTTCTCCATGGAACACAAAAATGTGTCCTCAGCAATTCCCAGCACTTCTCCTTTCTCAAATATCAGCATTAAAAATAGGTGTATGGGGTCAGCACTTAGAAATATTGAGAACGAAGAATCCTGGCCCACCACCTTCCTCAGCCAGCAGCAAGACATAGGGGAGAACCATGAATGTGACTAAGTGTGCCATGTTAAGACCAAATGATTTTCATTCTGTAAATTGGTCTTTCTTTTGCTTTCTTTTCCTCCATGAGGTTTTATGTGGAACAAATTTACATATTTGATTAATAAAACTGCCTAAGTTGGATGTAGATCTATCGTTATAGGAAATACTATCATGAGTGAGTCACAGCTAGTTAAAAGAACAACTTGAGAATAACATCAGCAGTTATCACCATCTGCTCATGTCTGACATTACTTTTTGCTGTCCTTGTGGATTACATCTTGCTTTAGACTAACACTTTGTTGACTTACTCACTGAGTGGGCACCGATGGCACAGCCACAGTATTTACTTCCTGCATGGAGTTCCTGTTGCTGCAGTCACAAATGACCACACAGTTGGTGGCTTAAGCAGCAAAATGCATTACTTCCAATTCTGGAAAGTCTGAAATGGGTTTCCTTGTGTTAAATTTGAGGTGTGAACAGAACTACATCCCTCTGGAAAAGATTCCTTCTTTGCCTTTTCTGCTATCTAGTGCCTAAACACATTCCTTCACTTGTGGTTCCCTTCCTGCTTCCTCAAAGCCCACTGGGGTGGTTTGAGTTCTCATATCCATCATCTGGCCTCTGCTTTCATGTTCAGATTGACTGCTCTGACTCTGACCTTCCGCCTCCTCCTTTTTAGCATGCTTTTCATTACCTTGGACCTACCTGGATAGTTCAGATTATTTACCCAAATAATCCCCCACCACAAGATCCTTAATGCAGCCACATTGCAGAGTTTCTGCAGAGTCATGGCAGGTAACATATTCGAAGGCCTTAGGGATTAGGATGGGGCCATCTTATGGGAGGGGTTATTTTTTTCCCATACAGGGCTACTGAGTTAAGACAGTTTCTGCTTTCAAGAGGCAAACAGTCTAGAAAGGAAAATTGAAATTGTTTATCCTTTCATTCAACTAGTACTATGTGAGCTACTCCTACCAGCCAAATGCTGTGCTTGGCACTTGGGACATTTCAGCGAGCAAATAAGATGAGCGATCTGGCCAGAGAGCTTATGGGTGATTAAAAAGATAGCTAATCCAGTGCACTTAATAAATAAGTAAATTATCAGTGTGTTGGAGGTGAAAAGTGCCATGGAAAAGAGTAAAATGCAGACCTTAAACAAGTGGTTTCAATAGAGGGTTATGATTGCTTCAGCAGAGGGGACCCAGTGTCCCTGGAGCACTGTGGAGAGATCAGGGGGTTGCCCAGGGGGAGCCTGAGGTGGGTGCAGGTGCTGGGAAGGAGGGCTTCATGGGCGCCCTGGTGCCTGAATTGAGCCTTCAGGTTGTGGAGTTGGGTAGGGGAGAACTCCTGGCGGATGTGGGGCTGGGTGACCAGAGGCAGGAGAGAGGGAGGAAAACATCCCACTTATTGGAAAAGATCTGCCCTGTTGCAACCATAGGCTCAAATCCCAAGTCTGGAAGCTCCTCAGCCTCGGCTCTCCTCTCAGCCTGCTCTAAGTCCAAACAGCCTGAGGCCTTGTGTTACATCTCAGAGCAGGGTGTCCTTTGCTATGGCTTCCTGACCAATGCTGCCTTCTTGAAGTCGTGTTGGTGTTTTTAACAAATCACACTTTTAGGGTTCTTCTGTTACAGAGCCCAGAGAGGTGATCTGCCCTGAGCATTCCTCCTGCTGTCATGCAGCAGGACAGTTGGGCCTCTCCAGGAGCCACTGACATTCATC